TTATGGATGAGGATTCAGACCGGCTATACACTCCACCTGCCAGTGAAGATGAACAAGAGTATGAACATTTTCCAAATTTCCAAAGTTCTGAGATACTGAATTTCAAATTAAGATTGATATTTAACAATAAGGATGTGATAAAGAATATTGTCAAAGAGTGTGCAATGATTTACAACAAAAATGTGTATTTCAAAAATAATGATGGAAAAATGATGGTGGTCAATTGTCAAGAGGGGTGTAAATTTTACATGAGGTTTAGTAAAAGGATTGGAAATCAATATTAGCAACTATCTAGTTTTTTTATGAGCGTACTTGTGCTAGGACTACTTACAACAGATAAGCCAAGACTGAATGGTTGGCCAAGCAATTTGCACACATACTTAGGTACACTCCAAACATGAAACCAATTGGGTTAATAGTTATAGCAATTGAAAGTTAGGGTGTGAAACTGTCAACTGATCAGGCATACAGAGCTAAGAGGAAAGCAGTGGAATTTATACAAGGTGCTGGGAGGGATCAATTTACACATCTGAGGAGTTGTGCACAAGAATTACTGAATTCCAACCCTAACAACAGTGTTATTTTATAGTGTTCTGATTTAACAAATGGTTCAGTGTTTGAAAGAGTTTGTGTGTCTACAAGCATGTAAAGTTGGATTTGCTAAAAGTTGTAGACCATTAATAGAGCTGGATGCATGCTTTCTGAAAGGTGACTATGGGGGACAATTGATGGCAGTTGTTGGAAGGGATATGAATAACCAAATATTTCATATTGCCTATGTTGTTGTAGAAGCTGAGACTAAGGATTATTGGGAGTGGTTCATAAAACTTCTCCTTGAAGAATTGAACTCAATTAAGAATGTTCCATATGCCTTCATCTCATATCAGCAAAAGGTAACTCTGCTAATATGCTAATTTCACAAGACTTCTTTAACTATACTAATATGCTTATTCTATTAACTTGTTGTATTAATGTGTTTATCTTATCAGGGACTTGTTTTAGTTGTTCAAGGTATAAGTGAGCATGTTGAGAAGAGGCTATGTGTAAAGCATCTGTATGGAAATTAAAAGAAGAAGTTTTCTGAGGTTGTTTTGAAAGAGATATTTTAGAGTGCAACTAGAGCTACTACCATCCCAGAATGGGAGAGAGCATTAATTAGGCTAAAAAATTTAAATCCTGATGCTTGGAAAGATATGATTAAAGTTTCGGCTAAATTTTGGTCAAGATCACACTTCAAGACACATGTTAAGTGTGATATTCAAGTCAACAACATGTGTGAGGCATTTAACAGAGCTATATTGGAGCATAGAGACAAACCAATGATAACTTTGTTGGAGGGAATTAAGCATCATCTCACTAAAAGGGTTACAACTCAGAAGGAAATGATGCAGAGGTACCCTGGAGATATATGTCCTAATATTAAAATAATTCTTGAAAAGAACAAGAAGTATGCTCATGGTTGGACTCCAATCTGGAATAGTGATGATGATATGGCAATATTTAGAGTCACCACTAGGAAAGACACTTTCTGTGTTAATCTCAAAGAAGGTTTTTGTTCATGTAGGAAGTGGATGTTGACTGGGATTCCTTGCATCCATGTTATCTCTTGTATATGGAAAATCAAGAAATCACCAGAGGAATATGTTGATGACTATTACAAGTAAGTTTCAGTTGGCTCATCTTTATGTCTTGTGTCTGTTATTGGTAATTATTTATTCTGGCCGTTATTGGTAATTTTGTGCAGGAAATCTAAGTATTTAGAATGTTATGCCAACATCATCTACTCAACTAATAGACCACAATTGTGGCCTGTTGTAGATGGACAAATGGCAGTCAGCCGACCATTGATGAAAATGGAAATTGGGCGCCTCAAAAAGATGAAGAACAAGTCAAATGATGAGCCAAGAAACTCACATGTGCTGTCAAGGAGTTTAGCCACAGTTACATGCAAAAAAATGTGGAGGTGTTGGACATAACATGAGAAGTTGCAAAGGCAAAAAAGCTGCATATAGAGCCATACCTATTGATTGGAACAAAAAGGCAAAGACTAAGGACAAGGAGACTTCAAAGACCAAGACTACTACAAATACCAAAACTACTACAAAGGACAGGGTAAAGACTAAAGACAAGACAAAGACTAAGGCAAAGACAAAGACTAAGACTACTGTTGTAACTCAAATCGGAACATCACCTCAGGGTCCACCTGTTACACAACCAACTCAAGAGTAGTTGTAGAACATGATGAATATGTTAAGTGTTTTTTTATAAAGTCATGAACAAGTTTCTGTCATAAACTTATGTTATGTTATTTTGGTATTCTGTCATGAAAAGGTTTATATGTCATAGACAAGCTAATGATGTTGTTATTTTGTGATATGTAAAAAAAAGCTAATGAATCTAATGAAGTTGTTATTTTTTGTATGAATTGTGTTAAGCTTCTGTTACAGTTTTAATCTTCAATTCAATTCAATTCAAACCATTACAAAATGAACAAAAAACAACATCTTCATTTTAATTCAAACCAAAAAGTACATTCATTTGATTACAAGTTTCCGTAAACAGACAACACTAAACCTAAGTTGACAACAACAAGTTACACCAAAGTTTACACCAATTTAAAACACTACTTCATTACAGTTGACAACATTAATCCTACTTCCAAAACAAATATTATTAAAACGGAGAATTTCATCATTAAGTTCATTGAATTCAACTTTATCTTCACTTCTGCTAATTTTATATTGGCTTCATCCACTTTTGCCCTTTCTTGATCTAACTTTTTGTGTAGTGAAGTGATAATTTCCTTGGCTCTTGAAGACATTTCATCATCATACTAAACAAAATGGTTACCCCTTTTATAACCCTGTATCTGTAAAGAACACAAATGAAAACTGATAAAAACCCACACATAGAAAATTGATAAAAACTGCATTTTTTTGAACCAGCAAACATGGACATTACCAAGTACATCCCACTCCCAAAAAACCCTCAACCTGAATTGGAATCGTTCCATGAAGTCATCAATGGAGCTTCAAGCCCACACCTGCACTCGCTTCGAAAAGTACATGAACGTGTAGCTCCGTGACTACTGGCTTTCGAGCATTGAGACATCTTCAGAAAACGATAATGAAAGCTGAACGAAAAGGGTTTGTAAATGAAGAAAAAGGAGAGCGTTGAAGCTGAACGAAAAGGGTTTGCAAACGACTAAGGGTGGAAAAACGGGTTGGGTCCGCCGAGTTGACCCGTTTGACCCGCCATTTTTGGTGGGCTGGGCTGAGGTTTTCGGCTCGGTACCTTAAGTTGGCCTGCCCCACCTAACTCGCTTAAAAAAGCGGGCCGAGGCGGGGCGGGTTTTCCCTGCAGGCTTTTTGTTAAAACTTTTACTCTTTTTATTAAGAATTAAAACAACTTTAATTATAAAAACAACACTTATCTCTTAGGATTCTGTTATAAATTATTATACAAACAAATTGAATTATAATTGTAATGTTCTTTCTATAGCTTTATAATACATGTGTTGATTGAAAATGATTGAAATAAAAGAACAAATGTATGACATGCATAATTATTAAGTTTTCAATATATTAGTTTAGATGTTTTCTTTAGAAATAGATGTTGATTTTAAAAAAAGGAAGGATTTGATTAGTATATACGTATGACAAATTTATGATTTAACTATTAAAGAATCAGTTAATATAAGAGTCTATATAATGTAAACAGTGAGAAAGTTCAGTGTTGATATTTTACGCATGACTATTTTATGCATTGTGACGTTTTATGCAATGTTATTGTTATCATTGTTAGTTTTGTGTAAATTCTAAATTGGGTTCTTTTAGTAATTAGTTTTTAAATAGGATTAGAATGATATGTATTGTTTATTTATTTTGATATTTTTTATTGTGCTTGAGTTTATTTTGTTTTTTGTTGTAATTGGTCTTTATTTATTAATTTTTTAAAATTGTTTGGACTTAAGACATCTTCAAGTTCTACTATGCGTTGTTAAAAAAATTTCTTTATCGATTTCTTTGATAATAATTAAAAAAATTCTAAATTATATATTAAATCAAATTGTAAAATTAAAAAAAAAATAAAAAATTTATGGGCCGGCCCGCCAACTCGTTAGTAAACGGGGCGGGCTTGACTTTTGAGCTCGAACTCCTAAGTTGACCCGCCCCACTTTTGAACGGACTTAAACGGGGCGAGCCTAAATGGGAAGGGTCGCCCGCTTTTCCACCCCTACAAACGACGAAGGAGAATCTTCCACTTTATAACCTAATTTTAATATTTTTTTTATTCCTTAAATTTAAATAAAATATTGAATTATAAATTAAAAATGAATAATAAATTGATTTTAATAAAATGGCAAGTGATTGATCAACTATTGAGATATTGGCTAGAGACCATAAAAAATTTACGTTAATTGATATTGTGAGATCTAATACCTAATTTTTTTATAGATGACTAAAATGTTAGAAAAATTAATATAAGAAAATTAAAGGTGCATTTAAGCCTAAATATTTAAAATAACTAGCACCTTTGTTTAAATTATGAATTGAGATTCATATTTTCTTTTTTCCGTAGATAAGTGAAATAGATGGATTTTTTATTTTGATTCTAAGAAAAGTTGAGTACTTAGTTTATATTCGTCTATTGGATTATGCAGTTAAAAAAAAATTAAAAGTTCATACCTGTATTAACCACGTTAATTAAGGAAAACATAGATTTGGAATACAAAAATAATCATTACAAAGTTAGTTAGGCACACAGTACAAGCCGTTTCAAAAGAGCCGGGATGGATGAGACGGCAGAGATAGCCGGTTCACGGTTCAACTGCCTGACCGGTTCAGACCGGTTCAGTAAACCATAAAACAATGCGAGTTAGATTTTGGTATTTACATGACTCTGCATGCTCTCACTATTTGTTCTTCATTATCGTTCTTTTCATTTCATTTCTTTTCATCTTCCACTCGTCTTCTTCTTTTTCTTCGTCTAACACTGCAATGGAACCCAAACTTCCCAGTGAAGAAATGTGAGTAGTACAACGTTTCATCTTCATCTTCTTGCCATGTTTCTTGTTGCTCAAGTTTCTTCTTGTCATGTTCTTCTTCTTCTTCTTGTCATGTTCTTTTTACTGTTTTATTTTCTTAAAATGCTGGTTAATTATCCGTGTAGTTTACAAAAGTTGGTATATGCTTACCTATGGGAGAAAGGATATGAAAGGACTGCTGAGGTATTCCGAAATGATACTCAACTTACTGAACCACCTCATGGTATGCTTCTCTTCACCTTTATACTTGCATTTGCAACCGATGTTCCATTCATCTTCTTTTCTTTGTCACTGACTCATTATTTTCTTATTTTATTTAATCAAGAACCTTCTAGATTATTGTTAGACATCTGGAATCATTTCTATGAGCGGTTTAACCCTAGAGATAGGCATCACATGGGACAAACTTCTCGCCAGAATCTGCAGCAGCCCGGTAATAGTTCCAGTCAGAGTCCGGTTATACTGCAGCAGCGAAGTAATACTTCCACGCAGAGTCAGGTTATAGTGCAGCAGCCCAGCAATAGCTCCACGCAGAGTCAGGTTTTATTGCAACCGCTAGACATTGGTCCTCTAATGAACAATGCTACTGCTCAAAAAATTTGGGATGAAACTCCATTTCAACACCATTCAAGTAAATTCCTATTCATCTTCATCAATCTTTGAGATTACAGTTAGTTCTTGTCATTTCATGTAATACTTCATTTAGTTGTTGATTCAATGTTTATTTTAATTCTTAACACAAGGTTTTGGAAGCGGTGCCAAACTTATGTCCTGCGATGTTTCATCAGATGGAAACATTGTAGCAAGTGGAGGGCATGGCGCATACGGGAAGAAGGTAAATATATAATAAATCAATGCCATCAATTCATTCTTCTGTTCTGTGCATTAATTGTGTAACTCATTATGTTTTCGTGTTTCATGATATAAAGCCTGAGAAAGTGTTGCGCTATACGGTACATGATGCACATAGACATAGAGAGACTGTAAGATCGTTGGACTTGGAAAGAGAGATTGAAATTCCAAAGAGGTTTAATCTTTCACCTTCCATGGAGGACTTGTTGAAGAGAAATGTTACAATGTTTGCTGCTGGTTTTAGAGCAATTACCAAACTGCAGTTGCAGGCAAAGGCCAACCTTTCTGGCCGTAGTGTTATGTCTAATTTGGATTCTCCGGTTGTATCTGGGGCCGATGTTGCGGTTCATCAGTGTGGACATTCTCGGTTTTCTGATAACCAAGATGCTGTGAACTCAGTGCTGAGTAAATTTCGTGACTTGAATCTTGATAAGAATTTTGAGTTTGGGGCAGAGGATCAGAAAGATGAGGTGATACAAAGTATGTTTCATCAGATAAAAGATTTGGAGAAACAGGCCAAAGCACGAAAAGAATGGGCTCAGCGGACAGCACTGAACGCAGCAAAGAAGCTAAGCGATAATATGACTGAACTCACAACGTTACGGACGGATAGAGAGGATACCCAAAAATTGCAGGCACTTGAGGATACAACCATGAAGGAAATGCTCTCGGAGATGGAGAAGGGTTTGAGAGCGGCTAGTGGTCAAGTGGACCGCGCAGTTGAAGCTGTGAAAAGATTAGAGACTGAAAATGCAGAAATTAGAGCAGAGATGGAGGCTTCCAAATTAAGTGCATCAGAGTCAGACACAGCTTGCTTAGAAGTTGCGAAAAAGGAGAAAAAAATCTTAAAGAAACTTCAAGCTGGGGAAAAACAGAAGGCTGAGCTACAGAAGGAAGTTTCAGATTTGAAGGAGAAGATATCAGAGGCACAAGAAGTGTTGGGTCAGACTTTGCAGCGCCAAAAAGAAGCCGAGGTTCTCTCTTCACCCCTTCACATTTATACGTATATTGAGAATGTCACACACAAACCACCTAAAAGGAAAATAAAATATGATTTTGTCTCTGTTTGCGTAGGAGGAGTTTATTGATCGAAATTGCAAATTTCATGTCAGAATAAAAGTGGCATGTTTCAACCATAATATGTGAGACTCATTTTTCACATTGAACTCCATGTGGTTGAACTTTACCAGTAGTTTAGGGCTTAAAACAAGTGGTAGTTTGTGTCATGGGCCAAGCCAATTCCCTAACGGGGATTAGTCCCACGGTCTTCTTTCGATTTTGTTAGCAAGGATTTGTTAGATCAACCAATACATACTATCTTACAAATAAATCTCTGGTGAAAACAGAAGTTACATCACAAAAAACCTGACCATGTGTTACTTCTAAACCATTTATTTTGTACAATATCTTATTACACAGGTTAAATGGAAGGAGGAGTTGAAGGCTCAAGAAGATGCCTTGGCACTAGTTGAGGAGGAGTACCGAGCCAAAAAAACAGCTGAATCAAATAATAAGAGGGAATTTGAGGCTTTGCGTCTGAAGATAGACATAGATTTCCAGCGCCACAAGGAGGATCTACGCAGACTTGAGCATGACATTCCGCGCCTTAAAGCATCTGTTCGTTCGGCTGTGTTGCACCACCAGTCAAATACTTCAGAAAAAGAAGCTAATAACAATAGAGAATGCATTATATGTATGAAAGATGATGTCTCCGTTGTTTTCTTGCCATGTGCTCACCAAGTCATGTGTGCTAAATGCAGTGATGAGTATGGAAAAGAAGGAAATGCTTCTTGTCCTTGCTGCCTGGTTCAAATCCAACAGAGAATCCGCGTATTTGGGGAATGATCTTAGCTTATTTTGTAGATATATTTCAGTGGGGCTAGGGTGTATGTATATACCCTATGGATTTAAATAAATTTGCACTTACTGATTGGGACAATTTGTGTCTTTGTTCTCCATATTGTATGGGAGTTTTGTTCTTAGGCAAGAATTTTTGTTACTACATTTACATACATAAAATAAAAACAAGTCCCTGCATTAACTTTTGACATGGATGGAATGTATCAAAGTTGTATGTTGCTTGTCAAAAATAAGAAATGGGCGGCATGGTCATTTTATATGGACAGGTGGTCTTTGCCATTCCATGGCGAGTTTGGTCCATTTTCTCATTAATCTGAGTATAGCTTAATTCAAAATTCTATTCCTTCTGTTTATATGTAGCTTCGACTGATTTATCAGGCACCCTCTAGCGCGGGAGAAGTTATTTCGCCGTGGTTTTAGAGAAGCATGGTAGAAATGCTTTTCTCATGTTATGAAGTCTGAAGTCGTTTGGCCATGGTTTTAGAGTAACAACATATTGTAGCTTTAAGACAAACACACGGTGGCGTTGATACAATATGTAGCGAACCCAGCAAATCACTTCCACTATTCTCTGCATTATTCATCATTCTCTTTTCCTCTCTTCTTCTACATCAACAAGCTATATAAATCAACAGAGGCCCTCTTCTTTTTCAGTTTTAAAAAATGTTTGTTTGTTTGGTAATAGTACTATGGCCGAGGTTTTAAACATTACCATATCCCTCAACAAAATAGAAGAGAAAAGCTGTGTTTTATCTCATAATCAAATTAGTTTTGTTGAATCTTCTTCAACTATGAAAATCAGAGAGTATCATAGAAGAAGAGAAGAGACTTATTGTGTGGATCCGTAGAATGTCAATAGATTTAACTTTAAACCCCCACATTTGTACCCCTTCCTCCAAAATACTTGATCTATCCAAAATATCTTTATTTTTTACATGAAAGCAAAGTACTCTTTCCCCAAAAACCACATACACTCTAAATGACCAAAGATTAGAAAACTACTAGTAAATTTTTAGATTTTATTTATGGGAAATTATGATAATATACATATCCTATTTGCATAGTCAAACTACATATTATGTTTAGGCAATCAATACGCGTATTATGTATATGTTCTTCATTGCATCCAATAGCTCATTTTACATTTCCCTGCACTTAGAAAACTCCATTCTCCCTTGTTTTGTGTGATTTCTGTGACTATGGCAAGCAGAAGAGCAAGATCAACCACTGATGCAAATCTGAGTAAGAGGTTTCTGTCCCCAATCCACAAAAAAATATTTGATATTCTAGTTAAGAGGGAGTTTCTCCCTGAGAGGGTTTTTCAATTGGAGGAGAATGAATATCCAGAAAGCCGAGCGACGTTCGAGAAAAGAAACTGGAGTCATTGCCTACATTGTGAACTTGAGTGAGTTGTGCAGGTATGCTGGTGTGGAAGATCTGTCCGGAGGAGAGATTCTTGATCTACCAGAGCCAATTGATGTCACCTGGATCACATTAATATAAATTAATAAAAACTAAATTTGTATAAATGTCAGTACAACCGTTAAAGCCTTAAAAGAAACCTATTAAATATTTAAAATAACTAACAGCTTTGAATGTTTAAATTTTGAAGTGAATTACCATATTTTCTTTTTTACTTAGAGAACAGAAAACGATGGCTTTTTAATTTTGATTCTAAGAAAAATTGGTTATTTAGTTTATACTTTATATTAGTGAATTGGAATATGCAGTTACAAAAAAAAAAAGTTAGTTACACGCACACATCACAAACTGTTTGAAAAGAGGCGGGATGAGATTGCAGAGATACCCGGTTCACGATTCAAGAGCCTGACCGGGTCAGTCCGGTTCACTAAAATTTTGGTTTTTGCATGACCTGGATGCTCACTATAAATTCTACCTTACTTTGTTATCGTTCTTTTCATTTCATTTCTTTACCACACTCTTCTTCTTCTTCTAACACTGCAATGGAACCCATACTTCGCAATGAAAAAATGTGAGTATTACAACGTATCATCTTCACCTTTCTTGCCATGTTTCTTCTTGCTCAAGTTTCTTCTTCTTGCCATGTTTGTTTTACTTTTTTATTTTTTTAATTAACATGTTTGCTTATGATCCGTGTGTTGTGTGTAGTTTTCAAAAGTTTTTATATGCTTACCTCATCGAGAAAGGATATGAAAACACCGCTGAGCTTTTCCGAAATGATATTCAACTTACTGAACCATTGCTTGACCCTGATGGTATGCTTCTCCACCTTTATACTATGTTCCATTCATCTTCTTTTTTTTTTTGTGACTGATTGATTATTTTCTTATTTTCTTTGATCAAGAACCACCTGGAATCTTGTTAAACTTCTGGAATGCAATATATGAGGACTATAACTCTCGCCGGAATCAGGTTATAATGCAGCAGCCCAGCAATAGCTCCACTCGGAATCAGGTTATAGTGCAGCAGCCAGGCAACACTTCCATGCAGAGTCAGGTTGTAGTGCAACCCCTAAACATTGGTCCTATAATCAACACTGCGACTGCACAAAGAATTCCTATTCAACTACATTCAAGTAAATTTCTATTCATCTTCATCAATTTTTGAGATTACAGTTACTTCTTGTCATTTCATGTAATAATTCATTTAGTTGATGATTCTATGTTTATTTTAATTTCTAACACAAGGTTTTGAAAGCGTTGCTGCGAAACTTTTGTCCTGCGATATTTCATCAGACGGAAAGATTGTAGCAAGTGGAGGGCATGGCGCAAATGGGAAGAAGGTAAATATATAATAAATCAATGCCATCAATTTTTTCACTACGTATCTTTCTTTACTCATTCTTGTATTTATCTTTCATATATATAGCCTTTCATTTGCTACACGGAAACTGGTATTTCTGTTACTACTCAAGACACACATAAAAAATCAATCACAGAAGTTAGATTTCAACCAAATTTCAATCTGCTTGCAACCGCTTCAGTTGATGCATCTATAAAACTATGGGATGCAACAACTGTGAGTCTCTTTCTTTTCATATCCCATTATATTCATTCTTCTGTGCATTCATTGTGTAACTTGAGGGTTGATTAATTCATTATGTTTTCATGTTTCATGATATAAAGCGTGAGACAGTGCTGCGCTATATGGAACATAAAGCACTTAGACATAGAGGGACTGTAAGATCGTTGGACTTCCACCCATTAGACAATAAAACTCTTTGCTCATCGGACAATATTGCAATTAAAGTATGGGATCTCAATAAGTACACCAATGCTAACGGATTTAAGGTGAGTGACGCTCATCTTTTAGTATATTATTCAAAACTCTGAATATATAGTATATAACTAGTCACATCACACGTACAAATGAATTTCAGGAAGGTGGAAGCGTAGTGAGAGTTCAGCCTGTATATGGGAGCCTTTTGGCAGTTGCTAATGGAAATGGTATCACCATACTTGATTATCATAATTTGCTTGTTGCCAAGAAATTGGAGGTCAGCTTCACGTTCACATATCTATATATAATATTGCACCATGAGCCTGCACTGAATCTGATCATCTTGTATTAGGGACACGTTAAAGCCATTACCTCCATGTGTTGGGATGACACCGGGAAAATGATTGCCTCTGTGAGTGAAGATGAAGCACGTGTTTGGTCGGTGAACGAAGGACAATGCATACATAACTGTGCATTTAATGGGAAGAAGTTTCAGTCTGTCATATTTCATCCTCGATACCATATGACCTTAGTTGTTGGTGGCCATCAGGTAAATTATGATGGTTGTTAAAGTTTTGTTGTCTTTGATTAATTGTTACTCCTATGTAACAAGTAAATATTCTGTTGTGGACAATTTATTGCAGTGTTTGTTATTGTTGAACTTTGAGGATATGATGCAATATAGTACAAGTGCGGCGACTAAGCTATCAATTACTGGACTAGCAGCTACCAAGGCGCAAAGTCAATTCATTGTATCAGCTAGCGATGATTCTTTGGTGAAGATTTGGAAATGAACAAGTTCTAGAACTTCTAGTTAATGTCTCTTCTTTTAGATAATCTTTCTCTTGTATGTGCAACTTGTATGTCTTGTTGCAAGTCACAAAAGTGAACAAATTTCAAGCTCTGTAGTTTTGTTTTACACGTTTACGTATAATTGAGGAGTGGATGAACCATTTTTGTTGGAAAATTGGTTGCTTGGTTATAGTGTTATGTGGCGGAATGATGTGAAATAAGACACTTGAAGAGTCTAGTAATCGGTTAGCCAATAATCACAAGTCTCATACTTTGTCCCCATTCTTCTTTTGCATGACACTGCATGCTCTCTCACTACACTTAATTCCAGCTTAGTTCTCTCTCATTTTCAATATTCTCTTAATTTCATCAATCCAATACGTTCTAATGAAGATATGTATAAGTTCAATATTGCTAGATATATCATTCTTTCATATATATACTTCAGCTCTATCGTGAATTGGCTCTGACCATACAGTGGCACTGATTGACGTTAACTTAGATGGTAGCAACTATCCCCTTTGGTCTCAGGTGGTCGAGATGTATATCTCGGGAAAAGACAAACTGGAATATAACAATGGAGATCTCCCGCGCAACCCTCTCAAACAGATCCTACGTTTCGATGTTGGCGGACTGACAATGTGATTGTTAAGGGGTGGATAATCATCTCAATGGACTCTTCTCTAATCAACAACTTTATTCGATTCTCCACTGCCGAACTGGTGTGAGAGGCAATTGCGACGACGTATTTTGATGGCAGTGATACTTCACAGGCGTATGACCTTCGGCGACGGGTGACACGTCTTAAACAAGCCGGTGGTTCTCTTAAAAAATATTATAACGATCTCCAAGAACTTTGACATGAGATAGATTTTCGTCGTCCAAATCCGATGACATGTCAAGTTGGTATCCAACACTATAATACACTTGTCTAAGAAGAACGAGTGTATGTGTTTTTAGATGGACTTGATATCCGCTTAGATAACATCAGAAGTGATGTTTTACAAATGAAATTGTTTCTAATAGTCGAGCAAGCATATGCACATGTTAGGAGGGAAGCTCTTCATCGGACAATGATGACAAACAACTCCAATAAATTATTTGGAGCAGTTCTCGCATCTAAGGGTCTCAAATTACATTGGAGTAAGATATTTTCTCAATCCAAACATAAAGAACCATCTAATAGCACTAAGTGCTTTCATTGAGGTAACAAACATATTAGTGAGACATGTTTTAAGCTTCATGGCTATCCAGACTGGTGAACGGACTTTCAGGCTCGAAAGCATCGCGATACAGCTGAGAGAAACTCGGGAAAAGTTGCAGTAGCAACTGCTGAACCACATATTTTCTCATTCTGAAATCAAGTTCCCACACCACTAAAGGTAATGTTCTAATTTTCTCTAATCATGATGATGACTCTAATGCATGGTGTTGTACCCCAAAATTTGCCCTCTCATTTATCAAGTAATCTCTCACAAGATCTCCTTCAGTTCAATACTGCATTAGGTTTGATCAGCTCAAGACACCTCCTTAAGCACTGATGACCAAAATTAGGGTTTTAGATTGCACAAGGATAATTAAACTTTCAATGTTTCATATGATTTTCATGGATCATTATGGATCCAAAAGATTACTCATGTCAAGTTTCAAGCTTTGGATCATAGTTTTGCTCAGTCAATTGAGCAGTTGACCTAAAAATCAATTGTATTGGAGAAAAAGTCAACTATGACCAATTTACAGTCAAACTTCATAATTTTTTGTCCACATAAATATTATAAACTCATATATATCATTTGATCAAGTTTGGACTATAATTCCTCAAGAAATTTGATCAAATCATCAAAAGGGCAAAATGGTCAAAATTAGGGTTTTGACTGAGAAAGGGAAATTTATGATTTTTGACCTAGCAAATGGTCAATTGGTTTGAAGCATGATTTCAAGAGTTCAATTTCATATTTTTGACCTAATGGCATGACCTAAAACATTGCTCAAGATCAATTGGATTGATAGTAAATTCTCAATCAACTGATCAAAAGTCAATTGTACACTGAAAAGTCAAACTTTGACTTTTTTGGTCAAAATCCAATGTCAAAGATCACAATTCATCAAAACATGTCAAAATATGAAACTTATTCATCAAGAAATCAAAAAGTCAAGATTTCATTTTGAGAAGTCAAAGTTTTCTAACTTAGAAATTTTTTTAAGTGTTTAAAACTTCATGTTTTTCCACAACTTTGAGTAAATTTTTCACCATGATGCAAGAGGATTCAAAAGAAACTTTCAGCATGAAAGTTGTAGATCTTCGTGATATCTACAACATTTCTTTACACAACTTCTTCTAAAAATACTTGGATCTCAATTTATTAATTCATAAAGTCATGGTCTTGAAATTGAACACTTAGTGAAATTTTGCCTTAGTTTTTGTCAGGATTTTGACCTAACTTCATGGAATTTTTTCATATAGTTCCAAAGGGAATTTTCAAAAGTGATTCAAAGAGGGGTTGTAGAGCACATTACAAACTTTCCAAAATGTCCAAGAACTCATTGAGATCATTTGTGAGCAAGGAGAATCGAAGAGATGAAGTTAGGGTTTTCAAACTTAAATTACAAGCCATTTTATGATAAACAAAAATTCAAATCCAAGCCTAGGCTGCATAATATTTGCTTTGCAGGCCTCAAACTTGTTTGTCACTCCATAATTAAATGTTTACACAGCTGATAGAGCTTTAATCCAAGCACTTGAGCCTTTATCCAAGTTACATTTCCATTTATGACATAAAGTTGCCATTTCCATTTTGATAAAGCACTACTTTTGCAATTGTCAACTTCTTGAGCTTCGCACTTGTTCTTTATGCACACACAACCCCTATAAACCAAAAGCAACGTGTCTAAAGTTTCTTTGAGCTCAGAACATGCTTGTACAACACTTTAAGTTTTGTCCTCTCACTTTTCGTCAAAAGCAAGTCATAGAGCCAAAAGCTAGAACTCAGAAACCTTGAGTGCATTTGATCTCTAACCTTTTCCATACATATACACAAGTCTATTGCAACATAACACACGAAGGCTAAGATCCCAAAACACTCCCAAGCACTCTGCAACTCAGAATCTGCCTTAACTTGACAGTTTTGAACCTCACATAGCCATCTCCAAATCCACTCGTGCGTATTGAGTTTTAACCATCCAAACACTTAATATACATCATATCAAAGTGATCTAGACCCCTGTTTCTTGACTGTAACTCCTCCATCACTATCCACCAATTCCAAATTTGAAGCTTGCAACTTGACTTGAGTTGGGAGTTTCAGCCATCCTCAAAGCAAAGTAGGAGTTGAAACACACTCAAGGAGGTCCATACAAGCTACAGAAATCATCAGGCCATCACAAAGGTTGCTCAAACTCCATACATGACTCCATCTGCAAGAGGTAAGTTTTCAAACTTCTATCTCTTCATACAAGCATCATTTGATTTTGATTTGTGAAGATAAAATGTAGATACCATTGCTACGAAACTGTATATATATCCATAGTTTGCATTTATATAGCCTGAGCTTAGAGAATTTTAGAGTTGAAGTTTTCTGAAATTTTTAGGTTTGAATTAAGGCCAGAAAAATTCTCATTCATCTTTGACTGTTAGCTTAAGTTATTTACATGGTTGGATTCGTGGGAATAAATGCCACAACTTTCATGTTTGAACTTTTCATTTTTGTTGAGAGATGAAGAAGATACCGGTCCTTTGACATAAGGTTGAAGATGAAGTGTAATCAGGGTGTGTTTTGTGTTATGTATTTATCCTTTCACACAAGTTAACGGATGTATCACCACCCCAGTGGTTAAAACGCACGCCTGTCACCCTTACGTCCTGGGTTCAAGCCCCAGCTTGACCTTTTATATTTTTTCACTATTTTCTGATTTTTTGTGTTTTTTTGGCAACGCCTGGGCTTTCATGTGGGCCTAATCTTTTTTTCTCACAATACCTCTTGCATTACTAATCCACCTCCCTAACTATTTTTTTTTTATTTTATTTTTATTTATTATTATTAATACTATTGTTATTATTGTTATTACTATTATTGTCATGACAATATGTGCATTGAGACCTCATATAAGGGTCTATATCTCATTAGTTCAGGTGTTCATTCTGTTACTTAAGATACATGGTGTAATCTTTGGTTCTTGGACGAGAAAAGAAGAATATGAGTTTATTTGTCCACCATTCATCAGACAAGGATCAGGTCGTGATTATTACTCATGTGGCAAGTTACTGCTTAGGCATTCTTTAAAAAACTTGGAGTTTTATATCGAGTTTTTGCAATCATTTCTAAGTTGGAAGTCCTTTGCTAAAAAAAATTGAATTTTGGTCAAAATCAACCGCGAGAAGTTGACTTTTTGACCAAATCCCATAATGAGTTTGTTTTTGGTTTCCATCTCATCTTGATGCTATTCATTTAAATGGTGCAAATTGAAGTAAATATTTGAAAAATTCAAATTAAATGCAAATGAGAGGGAAGAGTTATCAAGCTTGAATTTTAAGAAGGAACCATTTCATTATATGTTTCAAGGCTGATTTCCATTACATGATTCCAAGTACACCACGGGATTTACCCGTACATCCAGTACATTAGGCATCCATCATTTAAGCCATTACGAATAACCTTAAAAAACCCATTGATACACCAGTATAATATGCCATTCAAAAAGACTTACACATATATGCACATAATTGCCAAATTAGTCACGACATCAATGTGCATTATACAGAAACCTACATCTATAAGTCCATTACAAAAGAAAATTACATGAAAACTTATCATCAACACTTATCCTAAACATGTTGTTCCTAAACTCCTAATATTCAAGTTTCAAGCATCCTCCAAACTTATGCTTATTTGAAACCATATACACCATCAATTTCCAAACCTGCAAGATAAGTAAAACACATCCCTATCAAAATTCATTCCATATCCTGATACAGTCTATGTTAACATATATGTTTCCAAGAAGA